TCCCAGATACTCACACCATATGTACGATGAGTTTCGGGACACTCTGTACAGTTATAAATTTAAAACAAATTTATTCAAGGGACTTTTTCCATTGAAAAAATGTAGACTAAAACAAATGTCCTTGGAGCTTTTATTTTCCAAGTTCATTGCTTTGAGAAGTTTATGATTCATTTATTTCTTTGATGTCACAAAAGTTTTCTTTGTTTTACAGCGTCACCAGCCTTTTCACCTCCCATCTTCTTCTGTTAAATAAGATTATAATTTCATATAGAGAGAAATAAAAGAGTTCCACTTTGTATTATAAAGATATTTATAATATTTACATGTTTCGAACGTCCATAATCACTCGCTTCTCTCCCCCTATGATTTCTATGATTTCTATTTAACAGCACCCTTCACTGTCGTTTTAAGATCTATCACCGGTAACATCAGTACTGCTCGTTTTGCCTACATTCCTCATTGTCTCTTGAGAAGTTCATGAAATAGTATGTATTAATGTTTAGATCTACTACCAGTCCTTGTTCGTCTTGTGGCACGTACTCTGAGCTCTCACAGAGACTGTTTTTATCATAAAAAGAAAAAAAATATCATTGAAATTATTAAAGATGATTGTAACTTTTACAGAAACGGAATGTCCAAGTTGGCCCACAACCAGAGCAGTACTAGAGGCAGTGAAAATCGTAGTGACAGCTCTAGTTGATTACATACAACAGCACGGAAGTAGAAAATCGCAGGAAGGCATTCACACGACTGGACCTGGACAATCTAAATACAAAGTCAGTATGTGCCGCGATTTATCACTCAGAGGATCTTGCCCACGTGCTACTAATTGTACATTTGCTCACAGTGACATGGAACTCGATAAGTAAGTAACAACATATCCATGTGTCTTAGAAAAAAAAGGCATAACTTGATACTTGAAATTTTCTTAGCCTTTTCGTCGTGAAAAAATTACCCCTTCCGAAGATAAGTGGCTAATTAAAAATCAGTCTGTATAGGGTATCCGAGGTAAATTTCTGAAAAAAAAAATGAGACATGGATATGAGACACGGATTGGAATTAAATATTTAATTTTCAGTTCAAATGCAGTTTATTTAATGAGTAATGTGAAAAATTACTAGTTTTATAATATTTTCGATATAATTTTCTGGCTTAGTTTGAATTCCTTGGTAAATTAGACTCGAATTCACAGAAGCTGGACATTTTTTCCGTTCTTAAAAATAATTTTTTCAGAATATTATATTAATAGGTATTATTTCACATTAATCACGTACAAAATAACCCATTCCGAGAATTGTTAATCACCAACGAGACAAAGGAGATATTTTCTTTGGAGAACTTTTGAAGGAGAAGTTCTTATTTAGAAATCTTAACAGAGAATTTTTTTGGGAACAATATAGCCCTAGACTCATTTTATGTTTAGCCCGTACTTTTTTACCATCACACTACTGAAATTATCTTTTTGATAACAAAAATCAACTCTTTAACGAAAAAAGATTAATGTTCTAGAGAATCTGACAATATAGAATTAATAAAATTACAAACAATGGAGAGTTCATACTTAGAATTAGATCAAGTTTCCTTTTCATAAAGGCATTATTCAGTGTAAATTGTCCTTGTAACCAAAAGAGAAAGAGGAGCTTGTAATTTTTCATTACCCTAGAAAAACCCAGTAATGGATAACTCAAAGCCAACAAGTTAATCTTACTCAATATTAATATGTTATTTTTTTATAAATAACTCCAAAGCCAAGGAAAATGAATAAAATCTAATAGAATTTTTTTTGTGTCTATAAAAATTTGGCCATCTTCATCAGATTCGAGAGATCTCTATTTTGTATTGAATGATAATAACAAAACAATGTTGATTTTTTAAATTGCAGGTACAGATCGAAAAGTCGAAAATTGAGTGCGAGACCGAGTTTGCAATTGACTGGAAGCCCAGATCCGAAAATTGAAAAAACAATAAGCCCGCCAGGAAAAGGATTCAAGCAATGTGATGACTTGAATTATCACTCGCCCAAAACAATTGACAATAATCACATTGAGAATTACAATTCAATCAAAGTGAGTTCCCTCCAGCCTTCAGTGAGCATTGAGAATAATTTCAGTGCTTCAATACCCAATTATACGATGCTTAATCCCCAATCTATGCCTGGAAAAAACATCGATATGCATTACGTTGTTCATAATACTGCAATAGACTACAATAATCCAAACATTCACATGTGGGATCCGAATCAAATGGTGTCTAGTCCGAATAGTCTTCCCACTAACAACAGCAAAAAACATAGATCAGTGGCAAAAACGTTGGCAATATTATTCCAGAGAAGAATGGAGATAATTAATCAACTAGAAAATATTGTGAGGACGCCACATCAAAGTCCACATCAGATTAAAATGAATTACGATATTCAGACGGAGGGAATCCAGGGAAACTACTCGATATGGGCTAATGGACCATCGCAAATACCTCCTGGCTCGATCAATTACGGAAATAATCATCGACGCTCTGATCTAGTTTTCGATGATGAGTTTGTGCCATTTGAGGCATCACCAGCTAGCAAATATGGACCTATTTCGAGGCTATCAAAATCATTGCTCAGGTAACATTTACTATTACGAGATTATCGATTCCGTTTTAATTTGAAATAAATCCCTGGTTGAAGTGCATTGAACATCATTAATGCATGTAGAAGATTTCAATACAATTTTTTTCTAGCGTGAAACAATTATTTTGAAAGATACGAATTCTTATATCCTGTACAAGATAGTTATGAAACGCGTAAGAATTTGATTTTCTAGAAATTATCGGTTCACCCTAGAAAAAAATTATTTATGCAAGAAATTCCATTCTGTCTTCGACATTGATAGTCCGTATGCTGTGTCAGGTCCCCTGTACACCAGTAGGTCCATTGAATGTTATTATTGTACTTTATGTTTTTGGGGTTGCTGAACATGAATATGTTGACCGTTTTTGTGACTGTGACGTGGGAGGTTTTCGTCCTCCCTTAATCAAGTCGCTTTTCGACTTGAAGACTCCTCCCGTACTCTGCCTTGATTTAGAGCTTGAATATCGTTACTAGCTTGAAATGCTTCATAAGCATTCTCACGGTTTTTCATAACTAACACAGCCATATGTCACCACTGACAATGGCTACAACAGTCAAACAGCTCCATTCTAAGAAGTTGAACTCAAGTGTCACCGTGGGACTGCTTATTCAGCCCAGACAGTTTGCCTTATTTTCATCAGAAAATATAAATTGAACAAAATCGACGTGTGGATATCTCCACATGTCACACGACCAAGATAACTTAGATTTAATTTCACGTTGGATGGCAATTGGGGCTACTTTTTCGCATTTTCATCAAATTATTTCGTAACCCGTTGAATTTAGGGAAACATGTTGTAAGACAATAATTATGTATTTTTAGACGAGGAATATTTTTTGTTTGAAACTTTTTTGCCTAAGCCGCACCGTTTCCGCGGAATCGCGTTATAAATAATTAAATTGTTATAAATAAACAAAACTAACCACACCTCGTAAAAACGGTTAAGATATTCGTATTCAGGGACCCTAAAAACTTGAAATTCAATGATAAAATTCAATGAATCTAAAAGTGTATACGGAATCTGTGCGGACTGTGATTGAAGTTTGGATGGAGATGAAATTCACATTCCATTCAATTATTGAAAGAAGTAAACAAATTTGCAACGAACGAGACAAGTCTGAAGGGATATTTTTTGTGAACCATACACGGAGAAATTTTTTTAGAAAAACTCTAGTAACAAAATATTTTTTGACCAAATTTATGGGAGATATTTACATCCTGAAAAGACACAATAAAATATATGAATCAAACATTTTGCTATTAAAAGAAGAGTGATTATATAGTTTGAAATTTTCGTCAATTCAAATGAAACACTATCTGTTTTCATCATTTCAAACGTACAATTTTTTGGTTTAAGGCCCGAATGGATTATCTTTTGAACGTTATCTCGATGGTTTTTCCATCTTCATAACCTAAAATATGTCACAATTTCCACCGAGTTTTATATCACATATGTGCCCCTAAAAATTATGATTGCACAATCAAAAAAGTAGAAAAAAAGCTCAACATTTTCAAAGAGCATTTTTCATCAAGATTAGGAAAGAAGTCCGATAGAGAGGAAATTGTTAATGGATAATTTATTACGGCAACTAACGATCTGACAGGCATTGGCTACTGAGACAAATAACGACTGAACATCCATTAGATACTGCAAATTATCAATTTGTAATTTCCTCCTTATTGGGTTTATTTCCCAATATTATTCAAAATCGCTTTTTGAGAATGTTCAGCTTTCTTTCAACGTTTTTTGCTTCCGAATAAAAGCTTTGTAATCGTCCGATTTTCACATTCTCTAATTCTCATTGGAAATGATGTAGAATGGTCTGAAACGTAAAAATACGAAGTTTGGCGATCATGTCTGTAGGTGAATATGTCCACCGCCACCTTCCCGATGGTCAATTTCTAGAAAATTGAGTAATTAAGTGGCTAAAATAATTCAAAATTAAAAAGTTGAAATTTTATCAGATTATAGATCTTAATGAGGACTATCTCTGTGCTCAATTTCAGCCCAATCGATCAAGTAGTTTTTGAGATAAAACCATTCGTTTTTAAATCGTTTTCCACGAATATCTTTGAAATTATTGGACCGATTTAGATTTTTTTCTTTCAAAATATAGGTCTCGATGTCCTCTACCTAGATTAACAAAAACATATATACCCGTCCATACAATGTTTTTGAGATATTTCCTCTTTTCTGTTTTTTCATTAAAATTCTTGTACGCGCGCTAACGCGTGCAAAAATCGAGATATCCACTTGTTTTTTAAAATACTCGTCTCGATGTCATCTATCTTGGTCAATCAAAATATATGTACCCGTTTATACAAAGTTTTGGAGATTCATTTCAATTAATTAACTTCGTATAAGCGATTATACATATTTGGTGTTCCCTAAATTCTTTGTTCGCACAATAACTTGAGGAAAAATTGAGATAGGAATGTGATATGAGAAAATAGTTTCTCCTGTAAATTGAAAAAGTGAATTGTTATTGATCCATTCGGAAGCTTACTATCAATGGAATTGGTAGAAATAAAAAATTAAAATACAAATAACATATAAAGTAATAGTCACATGCCTTCTGCAATATAGGAGCGACCAACTGCTTGTTTAATTGTACAATCATAATTTTTGAAGACTCCAGGACTATGTAAAACTGGATGGCAATTGAAGAACATTTCAGACTATCAAAATAAAAAAACAACTAAGATCACTTTCGAAAGAAAGCATTATCTAGCAAATGTGATTATAATCCGAGCCGAAGGCGAGACACATTCGCCAGATAATACTTTTATCGCCTGGTGGCATAATATACTATTATCGCCGTGTGGCATACGATATTTTATGTCGTTAGAATCGCGGTTTTTTCGGGCCTAACGACATAAATAGTACATTAGATGCCCGAGCCTTGGAAAACAGATCACCGTCCCCCACGTGCAAGATTGCCTTCCGAGCCGAAAGCGAGGACGTGGGGGGAGGGTGATATGTTTTCCATGGCGAGGTATGTATATTAAGTTTCGTGTCGAGGGACCTGCAAAACGGCAATTGCGTGGCGCGCAGCGCCACGGAAATGAGGTTTTTTAGGTCCCGTGACATGAAAATTAATATACACAATATGGCTGCGCCTTGCCTTCGGCTCGGAAGGCAATCTTGCACGTGGGGGACGGTGATCTGTTTTTCAAGGCTTGGGCATGTAATGTACTATTTCTGACGAATGTGATTATAACGTCACATTCGTCAGAAAATACTTTTACTCCCTAAGGGCACAATATACTATTTTCATTTCTACATTTCTGAGCCCTCTGAGGGTTTTATTAGCATTAGAGGGGCCAATAAATACGGAATCAACATTCACTTGACGAAAAAATTCTATTTTGGCGGAAGTCCACTTTCCCCCGGGAAAAATCCAAGATCTGACACTTTGGCCTCGGGTAAAAATTCAAATTTTTTATTTCGACAGATCTGGCACCGCCAGATAATTTTCAGTACCCAAAAATTGCGGCTGGTGGTGAACGAGCGTGTTGTTATGCGCAGGCATATGCGCAGATGACCATAACAAGAAACTCCCAAGGGAGTTCGGGCTAGATTGTAGCCCCGGCAGCTGACTACGGGCGCGTTTCGCAATCGACTTAGTAGCAGACTGCTAGTAGCAGTAGCAGTAGCAGTACTAGCAGTAGCAGTACTGTAACCCTATCTAATTTCGCTTTACTGCAGCTACAGTAGTTGATTCCGAAACGCACCCTTCATAATGTGCGTTCAAACGTGCAGGTGTGACAAAAAATATCATTTTATCTATTCAGAATTATCCTCCTTTAGCCCGAAAAGCACCGATTTCTTGTCTGAAACCTACCATGAATTGATCGAATATGCATGCGATGTTCTTCACTCAAGAATTTTTCTTTTGTCATATTTTGTCCATTTTTCTTTCAGTGTGATAGGGAGAGCGTTTTATATGGGGTGTTTTATGTATGGGTCGAAAATACACAAGAATGAAAGGGGCAGGAGTTATGGTTAGAATTGACGAAATTAACCTGGCGATAAGGCTCACTAACACCCACAGTGCTAACGTACTGTTGCCCGTATAGAGCTGCGGGACACCCCCGAAAGTATGATCACGGAATGTGAAGTAAACAATTTTTGATCAATTTTAGTCATTGCAATCCCTCTAAATATGATTTAATGGGGTGGGGTACGCACCTACACGTATGAAAAAATCGTATAGAAATTTTCTATACAGATTATGTATAGAATTTCTATAGGATTTTCGTATATGAGATTTGGATATTTCTATTGGGAACTCAGATGGGGGCGGGGCGTAGGTCGTGGACCCTACTTGCATAGGTTCACATTTTTGCCACTCGACAGTAGCTTCTTGGGAGAGATTGGACTCGCAATCTACTTACACGGGTTCAACACGCGCGATCGTTCTCGTGTATATGTAGAAACATTTCGTATGGAGTTGCGACATTTCTCTACGTTTTTCTCTGGAGCGTTGAGACATACAAAAATTTATGTAAAAATTTATGTATAGAAATAATTCCTATAGAAATATCCGAATATCATATACGGAAATCCTATAGAATTTTTATACGCAATCCGTACAGAAAATGTCTATATGATTTTACTTCCGAATGGAAGCATTGCAATTGTTCGATTTTCAAATTTTCTAATTTTGCTTGGAAATGATGCAGAATGGTCTGAACCGTAAAAATACGAAGTTTGGGGACCATGTCTTTGCGTGACACTGTCGGTGGTCATTTTTTCGTAAATTTGATAATTAAACGGGAAAAATCATTCTAAAAAATTTGAAATTTTTTCAGTTAATTGGTATAACTTGAGACTAACTCCATGCCAAACTTCAGCTTGATCCGTCTTTTAGTGTTTGAGGAATATCCATTCGTTTTTTAACGTTTTCTCGCAAATATCTCGGAAAATATTCAACCAATTTCAATAATTTTTTTCTCAAAGTATTCGGCATGCTCTCCTCTATCTAAATCAATCG